AGGACGGGCTTATTATGAGCAAGAGCATAGCACAATGATGACATGATGAAATGCGGTGTGATAAGGCAAGTTTGGCATATGTGATGAGAGGTGGCAGATATGCTCACAATTGGCCTAAGCATTAAGCCACCACTATATAATTGGATCATCCGGATGGATTATCCAAATCCACCGCCCAATTTGGATTGTGGCTTATTGGATAAATCCGAATGGATCTATCCAATTAGATCCACCCAATCAGCACACTGGCGTCGCTTTTTTATTTGTCCCATTTTGTGTGAATGTGAGAAACCAAGCTGAACTGTCTTACTCCTCTTTGCTCCACTGACGTGCAGGTTATCCCGCAGCGGATGTCGTCGCTTTTTCGTATTTGTCACAATGGCAACAACATCTGCAATCCATAGAACCAACGTAGATCGCCTGGAATATGCACGTGCAGGCACGGAAGGAACCGACCGAAAGGGAAAGGACATCCTTGAAAAGGTCTATAAACCGCTTTCTGACAGCATCCAACGGTTCGTGATACGGGCGACGCGCCCAGACAGGAGTGAACTCGAGCAACAACGCCAAGTATGCACAATAATACTGACGTCTCGGTGTATATGCTGAATGAGTGTGTATCACCTGTTTAATATCAGAGATTGCCAAATAGGCGAGGTAAGAGGAGGAGATATGAGAGGACAATGGGCAGAGAGCTTCAGATACAGTAATCAATCTAATCAATAGGCCCAGACTCATTGATCACACCGACGCGCTTTCGCTTCGGTGGTGCCTTTTTAGGGAATTTACTTATGTTAAAGATTGTCCATAGGAAGTCAAAAGGCGATCTGACATTGACTCGGGTCAAATTTAGAATAAAATTCTAGCTTTGTTCAGATTGGTAACCAGTATCGAACTATTCCACATCGAAAGCAGAACTGTCTCCGGCCATTTGAGTTAAGGAATCCAAATCTATACCGCTCCATTCAAATAAGGTCATTATTGTGGACAGTGTGCGAGGATGAGCATTGCCTAAAACTTTTAGCTGGAGTTTGAGACATTGGTTCATTAATTGCAGAGCATCATTGTATCGATCTTGACTTTTCCATACGGCTGCTAGGTTGGCCATGCTTGTCAGGGTTGAAGGATGCTTTTTTCCTAGAACACTCTTTCTCGTGTCCATGACTTGAACAAGTAGCTTTTCGGCCTCCTTCAACCGTCCTTGATTCATATATGTCGTTGCAAGATTGGCCATGCTGGTCAGCGTGTCTGGATGCTCCTCTCCTAGTACCTGCAAACTAGTGTCTAAGACTTGCACTTCCAGCACTTCTGCATCTTTCCACCGTCCTTGATTGTTGTACGTTGATGCTAAGTTGGCCATGCTGGTCAGCGTGTCCGGATGGTCCACTCCTAGTACCCTCTTCCTCGCGTCCTTGACTTGAGTTTCCAGCTCTTCGGCCTCCTTCCACCGCCCTTGATTGCTGAACGTTGACGCTAGGTTGGCCATGCTGGTCAGCGTGTCTGGATGCTCCTCTCCAAGCACCCTCAAACTCGTATTTAAGACTTGCATTTCCAGTTCTTCGGCTTCCTTCCACCGTCCTTGATCGCTGTATGTCGATGCCAGATTGGCCATGCTGGTTAACGTGTCTGGATGCTCGTCTCCTAGTACCCTCTTTCTCGCGTCCTTGACCTGCATTTCCAGCTTTTCGGCCTCTTTCCACCTCCCCTGATTGCTGTATGTCGACGCCAGGTTGGCCATGATGGTCAGCGTGTCTGGATGATCCTCTCCTAGCACCCTCTTTCTTGTGTTCATGACATGCATTTCTAACTCTTCAGCGTCCTTCCACCGTCCCTGATTGCTATATGTCAACGCCAGATTAGCCAAGCTGGTAAGCGTGTCTGGATGCTCCTCTCCTAGCACCCTCTTCCTTACATCCTTGACGTGTACTTCCAGCTCTTCGGCCTCCTTCCACCGCCCTTGATTACTGTATGTTGACGCCAAATTGGCCATACTGGCCAGCGTGTCTGGATGTTCATCTCCAAGCACTCTCTTTCTGGTGTTAATGACGTGCACTTCCAGCTCCTCAGCCTCCTCACACCGCCCCTGATTCCGGAATTTCTTGGCCAAATTGGTTATGCTCGTCAGTGTGTCTGGATGCTCCTCTCCTAGCACTCTTGAGCTTGTGTCTTTGACGAGCACTTCCAGAGTTTCAGCCTCTTCCCACCGCCCTTGATTCCGGTATATTGACGCCAGGTTGGCCATACTTGTGAGCGTGTCTGGATGTTCTTCCCCTAGCACCCTGAAACTTATATCCCTGACTTTCAATCCTAGTTCTTCTGCCTCTTTCCACCGCCCTTGGTTTCTGTATGTCGACGCCAAATTAGCCATGATGGTCAGTGTGTCCGGATGCTCCTCTCCTAGCACTCTAAAACTCGAGTCTAAGACTTGCACTTCCAGCTCTTCGGCCTCCTTCCATCGCCCTAGTTTCCAATACGTCGACGCCAGGTTAACCACGCTGGTCAGCGTGTCTGGATGCTCCTCTCCCAGTAGTCTCTTTCTCGTGTTCATGATTTGCATTTCCAGCTCTTCTGCCTCCTTCCACCGCCCTTGATTGCTGTATGTGGATGCGAGATTTGCCGTGACCATCAGTGTGTCCGGATGCTCGTCTCCTAGCACTCTCAAGCTCATATTTCTCACTTTGACTTCCAGCTCTTCGGCCTCCTTCCACCGCCCTTGATTCCACAATGTCGACGCCAGGTTGACCATGCTGGTCAGCGTGTCTGGATGCTCCTCTCCCAGTATCCTCTCTCTCATATTCTTGACTTGCATTTCCAGCTCTTCGGCCTCCTTCCACCGCCCTTGATTTCGGTATGTTGACGCCAGGTTGGCCATGCTCGTGAGTGTGTCTGGATGTTCTTTCCCTAGCACGCTGAAACTTATATCCCTGACTTTCAATTCTAGTTCTTCTGCCTCTTTCCACCGCCCTTGGTTTCTGTATGTCGATGCCAGATTAGCCATGCTGGTCAGAGTGTCTGGATGTTCCCTTCCAAGCACCCTCTTTCTTATGTCCGTGACTTGCACTTCCAGATTTTCGGCCTCTTTCCACCGCCCTTGGTTTCTGTATGTCGACGCCAGATTAGCCATGCTGGTCAGAGTGTCTGGATGCTCCTCCTCAAGCATCCGCTTTTTCGTGTAAACTTGCAGAAACAGCTCTTCAGCCTTTTTCCATTGTCCATCGCCATATAGGCTTATGGCACACCTTTGCATAAGGTCCATCTTGGAGGTATTTTTTTCCTCTATATATCCGATGTTCAGTACTTGCATAGCATGTGGCAAAAGTCTTCGCCATGTACTTTGGTTCCAATAGTCAGCTTCTGGAAATACATCATTAAGTTGAGCTATAGACGTTTCAACCCACTGACTTAGTAAGCGATGCTTCTGAAGCCAGCTCAATGTTGCCAAATTCACAAGTTGATGTATATCTAATGCTGATCCAGCTGGCCGTCTGATAATTAATGAATAATCTGAAAGTATTTTTAAAGCGTCTTTCTCAACTATATATGTTGGACCCCTGGGCAGTATAGAAACTGGGATATCAGTATCTTTTATGCAAGCCATGAATAACAAATATCTAGCCGCGAACTCGTTCCTTTTCCGGATTTGGTTAAAGGAAATGAGCCAAGGTGCGATCAAAGGGCGTGTTCTTTCATAAGCTTGCCATTCGTCCTTCAATTCTTGACTGATAGATTCAACCATCTCTTTATCTTGTGACCTTAATAGTGCTCGATAATTCCTAATAGGCAAATTATGAATTTTAATATAGGCTGATGCCAATATAATGGCTAGGGGGAAGAACGCAAGCTCTTCCAACAAAAGATCGATTTCCTGCTGCTGATTAGCTAAATCCTGGTTGGGCAAGGATCTTTTAAGCATAATTAGAGCTATCTCAGTATCCATCTCTGACATCTCCATGATGATCCCTGGAGCTAACCTATCAACCGTTTTCTTGTTACGTGTTGTAAAGATAACACATCCTCTTTCAGATTTTGGCAGGTTATTGATTAAGCCACCAACACCAGATACTTTAGTAGCCCATATGCTATCATCATCCGCGCTATCGAATATGAGAAGCCACTTTCCTGTACTCTTTTCACTTAGATGACTTTTCACAAGTTGCTTGGTATCCAGCTTCTCATCATTCCATCCAGGAATTTGAAGTCGCTGAGCAATCTGCATATATCCCTGCTGAATACTCTCCATACTAGCAGCTGGTATCCATAGTACCAAGCAGTCCTGATATATTTGTCTTATTCTATAGGCCAGTTCAAGCGCCAACTGTGTTTTTCCAATTCCACCCATTCCTGTGATTGCAATTTTTGTTGTCTGGCCCTCAATGAAGAGAGCTTTCTGCAACCTGGCGAGTTCAGATTCACGGCCAGTAAACCGGTGATTCCTGTCAAATGGCACAATAAATGGAGTTGAACCTGTTGATTCAATTTCCAACCACAGCCTCCTCATTGCCTCCACCTTTCCTTCTCCATACATCAGCGGTATTGTAACACCAACTATTCCAAGGAGACAGTAAGCAATATCTTCTTCCTCTGTTGTTTTGCGGTTATCTGCCCATGCAATTCGTTCGTTGATGCTAAATTCTTTTAGTGGACGTCCGCGTAAAGCATCAACTGGAATCTTGGTGACTTCATGAATGACCTTCTCCAAAGAGGTTTTGTCCCCAAGCCACTCATACGTTGAAGAAAAAAACCCCACTGAAGCCGGAGCTATGAGCTCTTGCAGTGTCCAGCCACGTGTAAACCATTTGCTTTTATAGAGTGACATTTTGGCCTTCTGTAAAGATACCGATAGTCCATTCTTGTATAGACATGCGGGTTTTGAGATATCCGATAGGAGTGTATAGCATTTAGCTGCATTCTGGTAGTATCGGAACATGGAATTGATCTCAGTAGATAGCTCGCTGAGATTCCACTTATTAATGCAGCATGTGTCGACCCAGAAGTACTCCAAATTGTCGCGGGCTGCTTGCTGGCCACAAAACACGATCTTGGAAAAGCCAACCTTATCTCTACCAGTATTTTTCATAAGGTCTTCATAAGTGAATTCAACAGCGTGGCCCTTGGGATCCCATGTGTGGGACAAAATAGCATATGGCGGTATTTCGCGGGTGAACACTCTATATTTCAGATTTCCAGACGCATCAAAATAGAGAAGTCTCATGGCTATTGCAAGGTATAGTGATATATTTAGATCAATAGATAAGCAGTTCAATGCGAAGTTTCAAAAAAGAATTCTTGAATAGACGAGCTCTGGGCTATATGAACGCCAGATAGAGAGCTGTGCGGGGTTGTGCCAGGATCGTGCTTGTCGGCCCAACAGGCTTTGCTACAGTAAACTTATCGGGCAAAGTGAAAATAAGGCCGACGTGGCATCTTTCAAAATCTCAAAGGAATGCCTTGGATGCAGCATGGCTTTGACACATCAGACGAGGTTTCGACCTCATTTGCCCAGAATGATTTCAGGCTATATGCTATGTCTGAAGTTAGCTGCACTTTACAGCATCACATTATGTAGTATAGTAAATGCAATGAGTCTGCAAGGTATTTAAGTTAGTGAAAGATGAACATGACAATGACCATGAAAAGACTCACTATAAAATAGCAGTAAGGTGGGCCTTTTCCATACAGAATATTCTCAGTACTAATTAGCCGCGCCAATTTTTCGAAGTTGGCTGCGGCTTACAGTACCTCAAGCCAAAACGACAGGCCACTACCGCCGACTGAAGATTGCGATGGAAAAGCAGAATGAACGAGTAAGCGTCGGTCAGCCATGTTTGCCATACTGTAGGAAGATGTCCAGACAGTTTCTAAACTCGCTGTATTAAGAAGACAAAGTGGAACGTTCCAGGCTGGATGACATCGCCTTTTTTCACGAAATTTGACAGCTCTGGGCGATGTTTTCTCCCGCCGAACAGAGCCATGTGACAAAAAACAAAAATCTTGAAACTGTATAGAATTAAGCAGTTCAATCAAATCATAGTTTCATCCTGTGCGCGGACATTGCGGGGCTATTTTGCTGTAAAGTAGGATGAAAGTACTATCAGTTACGCTCTAAGCTTTCATATATGTATCCCTTGTGAGCAGAATTTTTTCACGGCTTTATCCTGTTTTTCGGCTTATATTGGTTAGGATCGACAATTTTAGGCATTTGGCTTTTAGATATGATGGCCAGAATTAAGATCACATAGAGTGCAAGCCTGCCATGATTGCAAACCAAAGCCCCTGCAATCCCATGCTTTTCCATGTATTTGTGAGGTGGATAATTCAGCTGATCGAGTCTTTGATCGCGCTTTAAAATAGATGCAATTCCAATAAATAATGAAACGTAAACTATCTTGTTCTAGATATTCACGGTTTCTAATTGTCCAGCGGTGTGCAGAATGAAAATCCCCCCACTCATATAGATAGATTTAGATAGATTCCCTATGTGTGTTTCAAATGGTCGGATTTCAGAAACTGTGTTGTTGGTTCAAGCCTAATAAAAATTCAGTAAACATCAGCCTCGGATGTTTACAGAGCAGCAGCGAAAACACTATACTTGGGCGGCTGACCAGCAGATCTGTTTTCATTTGACCAAGTTATTTTCAGGGAACGTACATTGTATCCTAGGGGACACTCAAGCACCATAATTTATCCTTCTGATGCTACAATTTAAGGCCTTAGTGGCATATTCATGTGAATGTGGAATTGGTATACTGGTGATGATACATTCCCCGGGCACATCACAGATATTCATACTTTCGAGCCCCTTACAGAATCTGGGGGAGCAAAATGCGTATCTATTCCAAGCACTCAGCTTCGAGGCAAGCAAATTCAAGGTGTGTTGGAGTCTATCCTGAAGTGGTGTCATTATATAACCCTCCCAAGGCCTCATCACATGTGCCAAAATTAGGAGAATACGCAAAGAACATTGGAACGTTCTCAGTAACACACGAAATGAGTCACCAACTCAACAATACCGACCACCTTTGAAACTCAATAGCATGAAATATAAGATGTTCAAGGACGCTAGAATTGCGTCAGTGTCCAGTACGTTGCCTCGCTTTCTTTTGCTTCTCTTTCTCTTCCTCAGTCTTGATTTATCAATTCTAAAAAAAAATGCGGTCAATACACTTCTGTGTTAGCTTTTTTGACCTCAGGAGCACGGACACTTCGATAGACTCATATTCAGGATTCCAGAACTTCATATCTTCATCATCTATTAGAACACTAGAGCCTAACAAGATTTCCCTTCGTGTATACGACAGCTCAGCGTATGCAAAGCGAGCGCCATCAACGGTATTTATTTTACAATTCCAACAAGGTCTTGTCCGTCACAAAGATTATAGAGATAACAGATGGTAAAGCTTTAACGTGCTTTTGCTCCATCCACAAGCAATGCTTTGACTTAGCCTGCAGCGACTATCTCAAAGAGTCGCAGTGGAGAAATAGTATTCGTTCCATAGGAACTCGTAGTCTTCGATGACACCAGCAACCAGGTCTAGCAGAGGTTTGTTCTTGAGTTTGCTTGTTACGGAGTGAATCCAAGTCCTATGTCATGTTAGCAAAACAATTTCTTGTAAGGCCAAAAAGGGTTGCTGGCGAGGGCACCCACTTCGTGAAGCTCTCATAGAATGCTCCCCTCATTATCCACCAAGTCAATGCCCAGCCTCTCTTTTTGAGCTCAGCTCTTTCCAGGCCAGTCAGGCCCCTCAGACCTCCGGCCACCCGCTCCTGAAAATCCCTCTTCGCGAGCTGTCTTGCGCCGTACTCGATGCTCACTCCCAACAACCATGGCCTCCAACTATTCTTGTCTTTGCTCCAATGTTGCATGGCTAGCGCATAGATGACCGGCCGAATGATATACATTACCTCGGCAAGCTCACCCATACCGCGAACCCGATGGAGAAGTGCCTTTGGAGGTTTGACATCATCCGCGGTCATGACTTTAGAGAGAAGATACGAGGAGATATCCGATGAATCGGGGAGGGAAGGAAGAGAAAGACCAGTGCGAGGCATGGTCCAGGAAGTGTCAGAGTCGCTAGAAGTGCCAGCAGCTTCGCCAGGCAAAGCAGTGCCGCTGTCGTCGAAGATAGAGGATGCCGTCTCGCTAGCTTTCTCCTCAAGCTTTGACGGATCTACCTCTCGTTCTGGAAGCGGTGGACTGAGTAGCGGCCGTGAATTCGTCAGCCGAAGAAGGAGAAGACGACATATTGCCTTGACCATTTCGAGGCCAACGACTACGCGCCACCGGGCTCTATCGCTTCGTCGCTTGGCGACCATTTCCCACAGCAGTTGGGTATATTGGATCATTTGAATCAACAAGGCTAATCGCTTGTACGTCGGCGATTTCTGCGTCCAAAATCGAGTGTATCTGTTGTGCGGCGACGGATGCGGCTTGGGACCGGGTAATCTGGCCAGGGCTTGGGCGAGAAGGGAATCATGATACAGTGATAGCAATTGCACCGAGGAGTGCACTAAGTATAATCAGTCAGCTTTGTTGATTCGCAGGCCACTGTAGGACGAGTACATGCCAGTTTCACTTGCTATCTCCGCGTCCCTGAATCGACCTGTATAGCGTTCAATTGACGTCAGCGTGCTGCATGCATAGTCTGGGTGTAACATACCGGGTATAATATACGTGAGACTCCTGAGCGCACTCTCGATCTGGCTGACCGCGCTCGCATTCTTGATGATGAAGTCGCTATATGCCGAGAGCCATCTCGGTGGCGCTGATAAGGCAAGCGACGCCTTTTGCTGGTACGTGTCCAGCATCCTCTGATGGACAGACTGCCAGAGCGAAGTGGGCAGAATTACGAAGAAAGAATTGAAGACCGGAAGAGAGAAAAGAAATCAGCAAAGGAGCGAGAAAGGGAGAGAGCGCATGGGGAAGGTTTGATGACGGCGGGTACGGGGAGCAGTTTGGGGAAGCTGGGGAAGAGTCGCGTTTGTGCTGGCGATTGAGCCGAGGAGCGAGGGAGGTCGTGTCCAGCCAGCCCACGGCCACATGCACAGTCCGACAGCGCTAGGCCTTATTTGGAGTCCTGCCTCGAGTCCGCCGACGCTGCTGCTCGTAACTGCTATTTCCTCCATCTAGAGACCTACTCATGAGCGTGGCCCTCTGCTTGCGCTCTGGACTTCACGCGCCGACACATCAGCCTGATCTGTAGTCCCGCTTAAAATTCTAATCGATAGAGCATTCCACTTCTGCTGTTTTTTCTCGTCAAGCCTCCAACTGAATGGCGTGAGCAAAACAAGTTATGAGCTTCAATCACCCTTCATCAGATGACGATGCCAAGTCTGCTTCTGCTTTGGTCAAAAAATGGCGCGGTTCACGACTTATCTTGGTTATCCAAAGCTGTTACTCAGGTGGCATTAGTGCACGCGAGGAGCCTGGATGTGTTGTTATGACAGTAATCACTCTACATGGTTTCAGTGAATCTCAGTTTTGACAGTGAATCATTTCAAAGTAGCCGTGAAATATCAGGTTTGATTTTATGGATTGCCTGTTACATTGCCCTGGTGCACTCTTGATTCGAGAGTTGCATTCGAGAGTCAGGAGCAAGTGTTCTCTCCATAAACATCGTACAAAACAACCACCGAAGACACTTGCGCCAACTTCGTTGAATCTCCGTAAAAATTCAAAATTGCAAGTGGACCTTGAGAAGTCGGAGTTTGATGCGTCGATGACAGTAATGAAATCAAGAACATGAATAGCAAGTCCGCACGGTTCTGCGCTTATCACATATCACTAACATCGGCGAAGACGGAAAGAGGCAAAGCAACCGTCCTACAGATTTACTGGAGCAGTCGGAAACGAATCTTCAGCTGCGGTTAGAACGACGCCTCAGTGACAACCGAGAACGAGAAGCAGCTGAACATCCACATGCCGACCAGGACCAGTTTGAAATGTTATCGGCCACCAGCTCGACCCAACGCGTGGATCCGGGAACCAGATCTTCAGCAAAGTCTTCGCGAAAAGGCACGCTGAAGTCGTTGACTATATATACACAGCATTTTCCTTCCAAGTCAGACCTCAGCTTGGTTCACGAATTCGGACCCCCAATCCATCTCCTCTGCCTGCCGGAAGACTGGCTTCCAAAGTTCACCTGCCCCTTCTCTCGCTACCCGAATCTCGTTTGGCTCAAGGGCCGCCATAAGCGTCTAATTCGCTTGCGCTTTGATGCAATAACAAACGACGATCGGACACAGTGCATTGTGTTTTCCAATCGACCACAGCACATCCGCAGGGAGACTTTAGATGGTGCACCTACGATGGGTTTACTGGATACTAGGAACTTGAAAAGACAAAGGCTTCCTGTGTTGTTAACCAAGAATATGGAGCCTTTTTACGAGATTGTAGTCACAAAGCTGGGGGGTACAGATGGATTTAGTGATACTCTTTTGGACTTTGCGAGGTTCGCTACGAGGTGGGCTGAGATGTGCATCTCTGCACAGCCCAAAGGAACAGCGGCAGATACCTGACGGGTTATACTGAACCTCGTGTATTCTAGTAATGTCCAGAGAGCTAGCTTGTAGGGAAACGTTTATGGTCATCTTCGATTCCATCCTGACGTCTACTAGGGAGAAGAACAGAGCTGAAGTAAGACGGGATAAATGAAAAAGCGGTTGACATGGGTATAAAATTGCGTATATGCAAAAGCGGACGCTCGCTATCGTCTCTGTACAAGAAAGGGCATTCGTACCGGCGGCATACCCGGTAATTGCTCCCTAGCTGGGGCATCAGGGATGGCCCATAGATCATCATCTCCTTCAAGCTCATCACTATCCCATTCATCCTCGCGATCCTCAGCAGCCATTTGCAAGAAACGTTGCAACCCGGCTGCCAGTTGCCGAGCTTCTCCTTCGTTGCGAGCTCGCTGTTGCGCAACTTCACGTGCGACGATGACTCCGTCTCTCAGGCGTGGCACTTGAGATGAATCAGTTCTCGTGTTCTACTCCGGGCTCGAGTTGTTCAAATTCCGCACCATCTCTCACATCTTCTGCAGCGTGCCTTGCGATTGCACGTCTGTTGCGAACAACATTACGCACCTGGCCTCTACCAGGTCCCTCGCGATGTCCGCGAAAGCGGTCCCCTAAGGTCGGCAATCGCTGCTGGCGAGGTTGACCAGCCGGTCGAGCCTCAAAGGCGTTATTGCGCCAATGCGCAGGTTGTGGTTCCCAGTCATCCCAGTCATCTACATCAGCCTCCCATGCCTCTGGATTGACTTCGGGCACAGCATCTGCTGCCGCAGCTAGAGCGGCGCCTTCATTCAAATTGAGATTCTGCACTGCTTGCTGTGCCGCTACAACTTCCACACGTCCTTCCAGTGGATTTTCAGCATGCTAGCGAACAGTCAGCATACGGACATTGTAGAGTACATCAGGTCCCTGCCTGTTCTTCAGCAAAGGCTGCCGCCGCCATTTCAGCTCCTCGAACACCCAAAAATTGCACATTACCGTCGGCATCGTCGCCGCCTTCCATATCCCAAAGTCGCTGATAACAAGGCGTTCCTTTTTTATTGAAGTGTTCATATGGATTCCCTGGGTCCAACCATGCTGAGCACAAGTAGCAAAAATGACTTCGGCAATTGAAGCACGTGATATGATTGCAACCCATCGATTTCTGAATGGCAAAGTCGCATGATGGACACGGCGATGTATGTCTGTACAAGAAGTCAGCCAGTGTGTTTGAGAAAGAGGATACGGAAAGTCCGATTTTGGCCATGAGGATAGCACCCATTCTAACTGCTGTTGGAAAACGAGCACAGCGAGATAGGACATACTTGAGAAGATAGCTGTATGACGCCTTTTCCTCCTCCGTCAACTCGTCCGCAGTTCTCGGCCAGCAGCGGAGCACGTAGTCTCCATGCCAAGTTGCCAGACAGACCCTGCAAAACGCGAGATCACAATCCTCGCAAATCCTGAGGCGGTCTTCGTTATTTTTCAAATCTTTCGGTTCGGCGTCCTTCTCGCTGAGAATGTTTTCAGGTTCAAGGTCAGCCGCGGTCATAGTGGTCACATCCTTCTTCGGGTATCGAGTAGACCTAGCAATGCCCTGACACCATTTCCGAGGACAGTACACTGTCTTGGGAAAGGATTCGAAGCGCTTTTTTCGCTTGAGCTTGACGTATCGTTCGACGGCGGCGAGCGCAATCGGGATCTCTAGCAGCTCATCTGGTCCAAGAGTCGGCGCAGCCTTGGTCGCCCGTTTCGTGGTAGCATCTCTTTCTACGCCACAATCGGGGAAGAGACACTTGACCCTAGATACATCTCCCTCGGCTATCGCTGCATCGTAGGCACTTCGAAGACAATCTATGCAGAACACATGACCGCATTTGTGAAGCTTGTGGCAGTCCTTGCCTTTCTTTGGATCTAAGCATACGCCACAGTCGAAGGTTTCTGCATTGAAAGACATCTTAGCGGCTTCTTGATTTGCTTGAATTATATCTTTGCGCATGGAAGGGTCCAGATCCAAAGTATGGCCATTTCCAGATGTCAGATCAAAAGCTCGCTCAGCGGCCTGCTGGAGGGAGTCGATGTAATCGAAAGCCATTTGGGATTGGCCATATTGATTCCAAAGTACTGACGCCTCATTACACAGCTCATCCAACTTATCTCGTGGTAGCCATGGGGGGTTGCAGCCAAGCTGAACGACGGGCGCCCTTTGTGAAGGATAACCCTCTGGCAAAGTCATTTTCACCTTGAGCGAGGGAAGATGTGAAATTTGGATCCCCGAATCACGGGGGTCGAATTTAACAACGACTTTGTCAGCTGGTGTGACAGGGATGTCGATCGTGAAGGTGTACTTGTCATTGGCATCGATCTGAATCTCTGGAAAAATGGCCGTCAAAGAAGACAGCTCTTCCTCGCGTTCATCCGCACCATCGTCCATGTCGGAAAGAGCTGAAAGATGCTCGACGCCACTTCTGCACTGTATTTTATGGCCAGGCTCTGCTTTGAAGCAACAAACGCTCGGAACGTGTTAGGAAATTGCTCTGGAGACAGAAACTGCTTTGCCAAAGCGGAAACAGAAACGGCAGAGACGGAGAATTGTTACGAAGGACTGGCTACAGCCATCCCCTCCACGCAGTTGGTATCTGGAAAAAAAATGGGAAAAACGGCAAATTTATATGTCGCTTTCAAGTGGCAAAGGAAAGCTACTGTCCTTTTCGTTCAAAGCACAATTTATGTTAGTTCTCGGGTCATCAATGGTCGATGTCTCAAAGCGGAATAGTCAGCAGCGCCACAAGAACAGCTCCGCAAGCCGGGTTGAAGCGACAGATGCGCAGACACCGAGTACTTTGTATACGGTAACTGTCCCGACTGACATGACGATGGACGACGGTAGGCCACTTACTTCCTTCTCTTTGACTCATGTCTACTATGTTTGTACTGGCCTTGCAATTCTCCTGATAGTGGTCTGATTGCGTCAACAGGATCCAGCGGATCGAATATCTTTCCTCTGCGCATGGCTTGCTCTTGTGCCTCAAGGCCTATGTATCGTCTATGCTTCGCTCATATGGAGTTCACGAGAAGCTGAGATATTTCTCATGTTCGCGGGCCAGATTGGCTGCGAGGCGCTTAATTGGATCCTGAAGAGAATCATCAAGGAAGAACGCCCTAAACGTAATAAGGATCCCTCCATAGTTTTGCCATCCATACCAAGTGCTAATACTGGGTAGAAATATACGGTAAGGGATATGGCATGCCGTCCTCTCATGCCCAGTTCGTGGCGTTCTTTTCAATCTACTTCAGTCTCTTCCTTCTCATTCGGCATCAGCCGCACCCGACCCACACGCATACACCATTTCCTTTCACGCACAGAGTACTGCTTTCAATAGCATCACTGCTGTCAGCGGCAGCAGTGTCGGCTAGCCGCGTATATCTCAACTATCATACTCCGAGGCAAGTCATCGCTGGCTGTACAGCTGGGACTCTCATCGCGATTGGTTGGTTCATAGCGACAACAGTTCTGCGGAAAACAGGTTGGCTTGAGTGGCTCCTCGAGACGCAGCTGGCAAGGAGTCTGCGAGTGCGTGACCTGGTTGTGACTGAAGATCTAATGGACGCTGGCTGGGCGCGATGGGAGGAGAGGCGTAAGAGAAGGAGAATTGCGTCTGCAAAAAAGCGTGGATGACTTTGAACACATGACCTGGCTGTGACTCCAGCACCCTAAGCGCAGCCAAGAGCTGGATATACTACAGACAACGCTTGATCACAGAAGGGGCACTACATACCGCCACGAGCACCCTTGAGGCGTACAAATGTCGACAGCATGGGGGTTGACGTCAATCTATGAAGCACTCCGCGTCGCTTGTGCAGAAGTAAGTGGTGACATCCAGCGACGAGCTGTATGAGTAGTCGAAAAAGTTCTTTCTGACGTCCGTGCAGTGAACTTCATGAGCCTTGCTTTACATGTCCTAAATCTCTCTCCACCATGCACAAGCTCCTCTCTCCTGACAAAATACAATCTGCGTGTGTGAAAGGTCAAGCCTACGCCTTTTTCTAGGATATTTGAATTCGTTCTTGGTCTCGTGATGAGACGATGGTACTATGATTAGCCGCATGATAAGTCCTAACTGCTAGCATCTAAATCTGCCCGATGGGCAAGTAAGCCTTCACTGCTATTGCGCCGTCAGCGATTTCGGTACAATGCGGTGGCATTCATGCATGTATACAGCATTCTCGTTCTTTTCATGGCTAAAGCCACAGTGATATGCATGCTCCTTTGCGAAGCCGCGGATTCTTGCAAGCAACTGAGAGAAGATTTTGGAAATGAGGGCAACAAGCAGGATCTCGTCAATCTAACTGGCACTGAAGAGAAATTTGTGTGCGAGAAAAGATATAATACAAAGTTCCACAGATTTCTCCATGCTGGATCGGTATGTCATGGTGCTATTCATGCAGATGCAACGGCAAAAGAAGCCGGCGAAAGAGCACAATCCTTCTCTATGAGGATGTCGAAGTTGCGCTTATTTTCCCTCCCTCAACTCAACCCACAGTTCTTGTATACGTTCGATCTGGCCCTGTGTGAATTCAGAGTAGCACTTGTCATCGCTGTAATCCATAAAGTTGTGCACGGAATCCTTTCCAGGCGAGTTTGGACAGCTGTCCTTGTTGGTCGGGCAGCCCGAGGTTGCAGAGGATTGGAATGGAGTGTCGGCGATTTTGTCGCCGTCGTGATCGCAGGAGCCATCCTGAAAGACGTGATACAGGCCGAACCAGTGGCCGACCTCGTGAACGGCGGTATAGCCCAAGTCGAACTTGCCCGGGAAATCCGGCGCTCCAGGAAGCGAGCCGCCGTGAACCAAGCAGCCGTCGAACGCGTAGGAAGATGGGTCGTCGGCGTCGATCTCACTCGTGGGAAACTCGCACATGCCAAGGATGCTGTTGGCCAGGTCGGAGAGAAAGTAGACGTTCAATTCGCTGTACTTTCCTCGTCGCAGCTTGCGCTTCATGGCGCTGATTTGAGCATCGTCCGTCTCGATGTCAATGGTGGCCCATTTATCGTTGGTGGTGTAGTCCACGCTCACGAGCTCGAACTGAAACCCCGTGTCCCCGTAGCCTCTGTTCATGACTTCGACCTGCTCTCTGATGGTTGAGTTTGAAATCGTACCAGCCTTGTTACAGGACGTGACTACATGGAAGTACGTTGGAATGACTGTTGCATTGGCAGCCGCACGGCGATTGGATGGGATTGGAGATGTAGGAACACTGGCAAGTCTGCTGTGAGACTCCTGAAGGGATGGCGGAGCATCGATGAGCTCGTTTCCACAGCGGAAGACAGGCTCTGATGTGGGAAGCGCAAGAGTCAAGGAGAACAAAAGGGTCAACGCAGCGGAGGTAGCGAATATCATTCTGTCGGTATGAAACGAGTGTAATTATAGAGAAAGAAGAGGGAAATGAATGGCAAAGCAACAGAGCTATGGAGACGTAAACGCAGACGCAAAGTTCAGCGGTCCTGATGTTGAGAACGGATACTTGCTCTTTATATACGTCCAACTAGGTTCTCTACTTCGACAAGGCACTGCGTAGTTGCAAGCCGAGAACGTCGGCCTCGAGGTTTCACGCGGCTGACCGCTAGGACAGCTAAGACTCGAACCAACTGCCAAAGCAAGTATAACAGCAGGCCTGTTTGCATTTTGAGTGGTGAAGACGTGAAGGCCGAGTCGATAGATGATGTTCACCAGCCAGAAATGCTCAATTGCCGGCGCCAAACCAGAGGTAGTGCGGTTGTGGAGGCAAGCAAGCGTTTCGTCCTCGACGGACATGATAGGCGGGTTTGACCAAATGAAGGAACATTAAGAGGCAGGAAACAAGCATTTGCGACGGAGCCGGCTGAAGATCAGCATATACAGTGTCCACAAAGCAAGATCGATACCAAAGCCCGGCCCTGGAGATAGGAAGGGTACCATGCGGGAAGGAGATGGCCGATAACGATGAGTGGTCGCGTTCCTGATGTGGAATTGCTCCGTAGGCCAAGACAGTTGCAATGAAACTCTGAGCAAGTCGAGAGAACAATGGGTCGGCAACAGCATCTCAAGGGCCCAAGCAAGCATCGGATTTGGCCTTCTGTTCGCGGGCGACGAGGCGGGCATGCGGAGGGTTCTTCCACGCGGCGGTGGCAGACGTCGATGCCGGCCGCGTTCGAGGAGCGAGTGCGACGTCGAGCTACGGCACGGGCACTTGGGCATTGGCCGTCGGCGAAGGCGTGGAAGGTTCGGCCGGCGATGGGATTGATTCCACCTGAACGCGACTGCCGAATGAGGGTGCTGGGGCGAGATCCCAAGATTCTTGGAGCGTCTTGGTTCTTGCCTGAATCGGCCATCGAGCCTGGAGTCCCGCTGCTGCTGGACTGCGCCTTCCGCGCCAGCGCCAGCGCCAGCAAGTCCTCCACGCCGTGTCGCCAAACCAACACCAACAACTTGCAGAGTCTGCAATTTCGACCGTCGACCAATGTGATGCCAGTTGCCGCTTTGCAGACATACCGCCTTCCGGCCCAGACCGGCTCTGTTCCCTCTTGGCCGCGATCAGTCCCTCGCTTCCCTCCTCGCGCACGACGTGCGAGTTGTTCTGCTTTCGATTCGTCTTGCCTCCAGAGACCTGATGTTCCTCGTCGCTTGAAGAGTGCTGCAAATACGTTGTGCAGAGCGGCCAGCACTCACAGATTGCAGTCTCGAGTTGTCGCCGCCGAAGCCATCACATTCGCTCTGAAAGTCGAATGTGGGACTGAGACGGAATGCTCAAAAGCAATTCAGATGCTCACGGCAACGAGATGATGGTAGTGCAAGGCTTGGTTGTCTGCAAACCGCAAGCGGCGAGATGGCCTTGTCGCTGTCGGTCCGTCATCGAGTTGTAAGATCCAAGTGTATCTCGAGGGTTTTTGGATCAACGCGTGTTCCTACATCTAGCTAGTGATCAACGACGCGATTTGCTCAACGCATACACAGGTACCTTTTTTTTCTGATCGCACAAGCGACATGCTGAGAGCATATCCCAAGTGGTGTCAGCGCAGCAGGAATCATACCTCTTCATCCACAAAAGATGCTTCAACAAGTGGTGGCACCCACAGTGCCCCCAGTGGTGATAACTCAGCCTCGGAGGTAAGACACGAAGTGTACTATTCAGACACCATTTAAGCTAAATGATGTGTACACACACACACAACGCCAGCCAAGAACCCCCGTTCATGCTCTGGGGATATATGAAAAGGTCACCAAGGTAACAGCTATGAAGGGCGAGGAATAGTGAAAGGTTCCGTGTAGCATCAGAAAAGCTAGAGCATCGGTGACGACGGGTCAAACAAATACAGAAGAAAGAAATGAGTCGCGTAATATCCGTAAGAAGCCTCGTCAAGCATCGTAGCGATCACGACGATGAAATAGGCTGGTAAACATTGTTCAAACCACATCATCTTCATCTGTCCTCTCTAATTCGGAAATTTCTACAGCTTCAAGTCTGGATCACAAACAGATCTTTGAGTCTGTGCAGTCAATTTTGTCACTCAATCCTGATGGAGTATGGACACGTCGTGAAATAGATTGTGGTGTCATATCGCGGGCTTGATCCAAAACTGCTACGTAGGTGATGGATGTGACGACATCGATCGTCCCATTGCTGTTTCACAAGATACATCCGTCTGATGCGAGTTGTGACCGCACAATATCTGGTTCTTGCCCCTGAGACCTGTGAGGAGAGATGGAGCGCGGCAGAAGTGATGTCGCCAGAACGGGAAGAACGGCCGCAGCTCCGGCGAGTGGGTGGGGGAGAGAGTCTGAAAGTCCCTGCACATGGCCCATACGGAATACAGACGTCGCTCTACACCTTGCTGGTCGCGAAACATGCTGTCGCTCCACGCCATCTAGCATTTCCACAGCCGCCTTGTTTCTCTTACACGCCTGGACGTCGATGAGCAAGAGGTAATCCTTTCGGAAATGCCTTGCTAGAAGCTCGAACCCGCCAGTCTGGTGTGCTTGAACATGCTTCGACGCGGTTGCAGAACTAGGTCTCTTTATATTTTCCGTTGCCGCGATGGAGACTTTCGGTGATGAGTCCACGCAGCGGCTCCAGGAGCTCGCTGCCGACCTTGATATGATCCTTACCTCAAGCGATTACGTCGACCCTGTCAACGAAGACACTCTATCCCACACACCGCTTGACACTGTCGAGGAACAACGACTGGGCTTGGTTGATGCGCCACAGACCGTACAGCGTGAGCGCAACAATGTACCTGCGCGCCCAGCTCTCCGGAGAGACGGGTCGGTGCCTGCTCCTTCTCAACCGCCTCCTGCGCCCCCGCCACCCACCACGGATCCGCCACCGCAACCAACGGACTCGCTATCCTTAATGCAACTGCGGACTTTGGTGAAGGAGATGCCCAAAGTAGAGCCCACGCCGTACGCATTTGTGTACAAAGATGCTGCAACGTTGCCTGAAGAAATAGAGGAGTGGTTTGCATACACGACACCAGAACGCGCGAACATACTCCGGGCTCAATCGTGTTTCGCAACTGAGTGGGGAGTCTTCAACAATTGGGCTTTTACCGGCGAGGACGAGTCCCCGTTGGACTGGACCAAGACCTCAGAAGAGCGGAGACGGCAATTCATACAGAGACTATTGGATGGCATCAAAAACCCTGATACAGAGAAGAGACTGGAACAGCTGGAGGCGCTTGTCTACATTGTTCTCGGATGCTGGTATGAAACTGCTGGCCTGGAAACGACGGTATTGACTCTGGAAGAGGCTTCAAGCTTGCTAAGCCAACAGGGCGAGGTGGCCAATCTACCAGAGAGCAGCTCGGAAACGACTGCTGAAAAGTCCGAGGCAGAGAAGCGAAGGGACGAGGCTGTTGCTGAGCAGTTCAGCAAGTCTGGTCTCCAGCTTAGCTGGCTTAAGACAAATACGAAGACGCTGTTCAATATCGACGGTGCTCTGCAGACTATCTACGATGCCGTTCGGGCTGCATGCCTTCGCGAATGTGTGCCGGAGCTGGGCAAAGCGGAGGTTAATGCCACAAAGCTCGAACTGGAGAGGAGAGAGACCTGGTGCGCATTGACTATTCTATACGTGTGCCTTGAGGTTGCACGGACGGCAGAACCGGATTCGGAGAAGCTCGCCTTGCGATCCGAGGTGTTGTGTTTAGCACCGAACTTGCTTGTCTTCCTGGCAGATATCATCAACAAAATTCGATGGGATCCCTCGATCTCCGGTGAACTGCAGCATAGCTCTGAACGCGGCCTATCCCCAAAGCTTCTCCTTCTGACATGGAAGTCCGTGCTGGTCTGCTTTGGCGGTCTAGAGGAGTTAAGTAGAGTGAAAGAAAGCTTCAAGGTTGAAGAAGTGCATGATGATTCCAAAGGGCCCCTCATCACCGCATCGCCACTCGATTATCACACATTCAGACAGGAGATCAGTTCCAAATATCCAGCCTATAACCCTCCACCTTCATACTTCCCCCTCGAACCGGATCAAAGGAGCATATTGCCACCACTCAGAGTAAATCCAACAAAGCCTCAGGTATCTTCTATGCCTGTGGAGCCGGCTCAACACGGAACCTCCATTCTTCACCAGCCTGTTCATATAGCAACACCTGCACCATCTCCTCCTCCATCCCCTGCATTAGGTAAAGGCGGAAAGAAACAAAATTACCAAACGCCTCATCTACTCCCGTTTAACTATCCTCCTCTGGATGCCTCAAGCAACGAAATTGGCGGCAAGGGCTCGACGATGCTGCAGGATGCACTTGTTGGTCGCAAATGGGAAGGCTCGGATGTACCTACGTCGATTCTGGAAGCAGCAGAGCTCTTCTCGAAGCGAATGAGAGCAACGAGAGCCTTGAAGCAGCTATGGGAAGAGCGTGTCGAATTCATGAAGTACGAACGCGGTTGGACTGGTGCCGACGAAGATGAAGACGTCCGTCCAATCGATAATGAGAATGATGAGTCGTTGTCTGCACAACAAGCTGCATCGAAGAAAAGGTTTGACGGTAGTGTAGAAGAGCGTCTTGCTACCGTTGAAGAGTTTTATAAAAATGGCCTTCCTAACCTGCAGTCCATTGTCATGGTGATGATGAAGACAATCTTGAGCAACGTCACCTCACTTATCACACAAGCAGCAGGCCAGGCGAGTGTCCAAGGCGGTTTCCTTTTTCAAGACAATGGAAATGGCACGGCGGAGAACAGGCCGAATGGGACGTATCTAGATCCACAACAAGACATAGCGAAACTAGGTCAAGACGAGCTTGACAAGATGAGAGGGGAGGAGATTTCGGCCAAGGCCGTCACCGGCTTGCTGCTGCTCCTCTTGAAATGGTTTAAGGTGTCGCGTAAGTATAGAAACGAGCGCTCTGAAACGATGGAGCTAACGCGTGGCAGATGTGCTAAAGTTCGAGTATTTAACTCAGCTACTGGTCGATGCAAACTACATTCCCATGGTGCTCAAGTTGTTGCAGACGCAGGAGATTGAAAGGGTCGTGAATTACAGATGTGAAAGTGAGGATTGGAAGTAAGTCGAGTGGGTGGCTTCCTCGTCGTCTTTTCGTTAACGTCTCTTGTCAGCTTCTTCCGCTATTGTCGGGCCCATTCCCGCATTGGCCTTGAAGAGGATGGTGTTGTTTCCCCTCCACCTCAACCGGACAATGAGCTTTCGGATGATGAAGCAGCTCCGCCACCTGTGATAAGACGAGAGCGTTCCTCGTCATCGACACAACAACGGCCTGACGCTTCATCATCCGAAGAACAGCAGCAAGTTCAACTGCCAGCGACCTTCCCACCGGAAGTCGATGAGCTCGGAATACCAACGACTCAGCTTCCCGCAGAACCCATCACCAATTTCTCCTGGCGCAACTTCTTCACCAACATCAACTACCTTCGCATTCTCCAGAAGATCTGCAAGGACAAGGCGCACCGAAACCTCATGCTCATCACATACAAGAGCGCAAACCACCTCAAGAAGTCGCTCAAGGTTCCCCAGCGCGAGCTTCGCCTCTACACACTGAAGCTCTTCAAGAATCAAGTCCCTTATTGTGGCCGCAAATGGCGCCAGGGAAACATGCGCGTCATCACGGCCGTCTACCTTCATGTAAGGCCTGACTTGAGGGACGACTGGCTTAGCGGGTCAGACGTCGACGGCGACGTGGAGCAGAGCGTGCCCATGGAGCAGAGTCTTCGCGCGCTGACGCATTGGCACAATCTGAGGCGATACCCCGACCAAATGGGCAGCAAGAAGGGCATCCTGAAGGAGGAGCAGGATTTCTTCGCCAGAGAACTGGAGAAGTTGGGCTACGGACTCGGCACGCTGGGCGACGGCGACGAATTCGGGATGGAAGGCGGCGCTATCGTCGGCGAGGGCGTCGAGTGGGGGGTTGGTCAGCCTGAGGGTTGGTGATATTGACACGCTGCTGGGCTGTAAACACCCCTCCCTCTTTGCTATTTAGTGCTTGCGCCCCCTGCGAACAGAGCATACAGAGGCGCCTGTCTATAAGGTATTTTTTTTCCTTAGGCCCAGACCTCAAAGTACAAGTTAACTTAGACTACATCTGACTAGGAACGAGGCTAAGTCACATGATATCTACCTTCTTGATACTCATTGTTCACCGCCTCGACACCTACCATGTCCGATAACCTTCTCAATGCGATGAGAGATCCGACCGAGTCCAAGCCTCAGTCTGACAGGTTTGGCCTGAGCAATTGGACAGGCGTCTCTGAAACCCCACTATTCCACTTGAGCCAGAGATTTTGCGCGTGAACTTGACATGTCGCCTTTTCTTTTTTTCTCGTCACAGCTCCTCGCCGTGCCGTCCTCCTTTCCGTTCGTGCGAGTGGTCGCAGGCTATAGTTAGCCAGGGACCTTTCTCCGCGTGCTCCAGTGCAGAAGTATCATTATCATTAATTCGCTCGCCACGGGGGACCCTTCAGAAACGGCAGAGTCGATGGGAAAGGATAGAAAGAGAGGGCACCGAACGATTTTGAAAAGGAATCTTTGTGACGAGTAAATGCGAGGCTTTCATGATTTTTCTCCTATTTCCCAGCGATTCTACTTTGGGTATGTATTTTGGTCCAAGAAGGAAAAGCGTGCGACATGCTTTGCTTCCCGAGCGGTCAAGTAATCTTTGAAATGTACGCATGGCGAACGTCCCGCCAGCCTGGTGTGAGGCTGTGAGCGAGGCGACAACCATTTTTGCAGGCAAGAAATAGCGCTCAGTTCAAACTCCGTGCACGACCACCAGATGACAAGGTGAGACAACCAAAAAAAAAAAAAAAAAAGAAAAATCTAAGAGCCGTCGATGCCACGTTTTGCACGTCGGCGATGAAAAAAAAAACTTCCCAAAATGCAAGATTAAGAGCCGTTCAAATCGCAAGTTGCCTTATGCTCCGTTCTTTTTGTTCTCGTCAGTACCGTCGCGGCTGTTCGTTCATCTCGTAGTTGTTCTCCTGCCTTCCGTAGGAGCTGTAGACCGGTGGAGGCAGTACAGGGCCGCTCTCCGAGCCAGGGGCCTTCCGGTACGTGGCCTGCTCGTCCAACGCGCCTTTCCTCTTCCAGTTTGCGACGGCGGACGGCAGGCGAGCTAGGCCCACAAAAAGGATGTCCGTGAAATTCACGAGGTCGACGGCGGCGCGGAAGAATCCGGTCTTCTGGGCGCCCGGGAGCGATTTCGCGGTGTACGGGGAGATCCAGTAGGGCGAGACGATGAGAACAGCGAAGATGACGGAGACGCCGCAGGTGAGCAGGCTCGGGAACGTGATGAACCAGTCTATCTTGCTCATCTTGGAGGAGGGGTGGATCGCGTTTGCAGACTTCAGGATGGACATGACCAGCTGCAAGGCGACAGAGAAGGCGACCAGACCCTTGAGAGATACCGTCTTCATGACGGGCGAGTGTCCCTTGAGTGAGGGATTGATGTATTTCATCAAGCGGATCACTGCGAGGAAACAGATGACAGTCGAGATGGTGGTGATGGCGCTGATGATGGTGTACAGCCTATTGCTATCCTTGAGCTGGTCGCAGATTGTGCCGTAGACAGCCATCGTAGCGATCACCATGACGGCGCGGACGGGCACGATTTGAAACACAGCCCACCACGTTCTCTAAGAATCCAACAATCAGCACGTGAACTCTAAGATGTACGTCATAGACGGTGATGAAAAACTCACGTAGTACGAGCTGAGCTGATTCCCCTTGGCGTTGTTGAAAGCATGCGCTGCGTACAGATCGGGGAGGTTGTTGAACAGCACGTTGGGGCTGCCACGCGACTCCGAGGGTGTGGCGAGTGTTTGAAAGAGCAGGTATAGGGAGACCAGAGCGAGGGCATCGTAGTACTCGCCGATTGGTTTCAAAAAGCCTGAGGCGTCAGGTTTCCAGATGCCGAAGAACTCGAAAATGGATATGATGGCGGGCGTGAGCACGATGCGCGCGATCTGGCGCTGTTCAGATCGAACACGGTAATTAACCAAGTGCAGAAAGCAAAGGCCGAAGCAAACGACCGTTGTAAATATGGTGCAGGCGCCGGCGATAATTTTGGCAAGGTCATCGAACGAATGATCGCCAACGACAGGTTCCGTTGCTGTATCTGCGACGGGATCGTGTCAGTAGAGGAAATCGAATTCATCTGTGGCCGCGAGTGGAAATTACCGAAGAATGCGTCGGACGGACAAGTTGCAGTTGCAGTGACAGCCGCAGATGTCGCTGAAGCTGCAAGAGCCGTCGAAGTCGTTTTTGAACCGTCATTGAAGAGCCCCATGTTGAAGAGTTGAAAGAGGCGCAGAAGCCCAAGCCAAAGAGCAAAAAGGAGAACAGAAAAGTTGATAGAAGCACGCTTGGGGACTCACGGGTAGGCGTGGAGAAAAAGGTCAAGTGAGGTCAGCGGAGCTCTGGAGAGTACGCTGATCACGCTGTATCTCGCTGAGAAGATTCTGAATGATGCTCTCAGACAATGAAGCAGCGTCTTTCCGGTGTACTCTGGGCTCCTTATAGTCTCATCGATCTCGAGGCAGATCCATATGTTTCGGCCATAAGAGTGCAAAAGCCTGTCAAGTCATGGGCATAGCCACCGACAAGGTGTTTGGACATGTCCTTTTGTGGCCGACACGGCGACGTCCTTTCAGGCATTTGGGCTTGCATATCTGTCCGTCCATCCATGGCTTCGAGGCTGAGCCTTGCGTCTTGCAGAGCTCGCCGTGATGACCACAATCGGCAGTTGTGAGCGCCGATCCCTCATGTTTGATTGGTCAGGCACCAACCCCTTTCCGTTTTCTCCAGGCCAAGCTTCGGCTAGCGGGAGCAAACGAACGTCCTTCGTTGAATTTCTTGCAGATCTGTGCAAAACTATAATACGTGCTTGTTCTCAGGACGTACATGCCGTTGCATCTTAGCTGCAGATTGCAATCTTCATGCTCTCGCGGAATACGAATGGCCTCAATTCTCACGCTCCCATCCTGTCGCTTGTGTCCTGCCACCACTGCGTGCGATATGTGGAGCGTTCATCAGAGTTGATCAAGCCCGCGATGCACTCATGACAAAGCCTTTGCTACTTGGTTGAGTCACGTCGAAATCATGAATCCGGCAGGTCGATTTTTATGGAACGTTTTGATGGAAAAGGCAAGCACGTCCTCAATCCACGCCATTGTATTGCACCTCTCCGCGGTTGGAGGAAGCTCGCGCAACGTCTCTTTAGCCATGCTGAGAGGTAGCGTGGCTAGGTACGGGCGAAAGCCGCAAACCTCGTCTATACTTCCAGCAAATGGCTTTGATTCGACGCGCATCGAGAAGATGGGCAATATGGAGCGGCATGCATCGGTTGCCATGCGCTCGATCGTCAGTCTGTATCTTCTTGCGTCCGCATGAGGTACTTTTGAACCTGCCGTCAACAAAACATGGGCAACCCGCATCCGTGTCATGCGCCACATGCTCCACGTATAGATGACTGCGAGGTTCTTGTATGTGTGCGAATACCGAGGCGCCCCCGGATGAGTCATTAGGTGCTGAAGCCATTTTGGCTGCGCTGAGGTTGCCGACGTTTCGTACGTAAAGAAGGTTGCGACTGCGGGCACGTTATCCTCCCAGGCATCAAAAGCCATGTCCATGTCAATGAGCCGCAAAAGCAAAGGAGTCTGCTCTTCTTCGCCATCGCCGGTATCAGGAGTTGCCCGTGCTGTTCCGAACTGGGACGATTGATACGCGTTCCATAAAGCCAAGAGATCGACAGCTTTGTGCACGAGGCCTGTCGCATGTACGATCGAGTATGGAGACTCTTCGTAAAAGCTCTTCAATCGAGCATAAGGTATAAATGAAGGAATGCCTAGCCTCAAGCTTGTCGTCAGCTATTGGATGTTGTTAGCTTCATGGTGTCGAAGGGAAAGGTGTTGGCGTGTAACTTACCAACTGCACATTGATGCTTTGATACATGCGCCAACGATAGTCGTTCTCGACGATTGGTATGTCATGGTTCTTGAGCAGGGCGGCAAGCCCATTCGCATGTGCCTGCATGAAGGTCGGATTGTTCCCTCCTGTTGACATTTGCTGCAAGATTCAGCTTTAATTCTCCTTTCTACCCATCCTTCCCGTGGACAAAAGGCTCACCTCGTAAACGCCCAAGATTTGCACGGCGATGAGCAGTTGCTCGGAGGATGAAGTAGATGCATCTTCAATTTCTTTCCCCACAAGTCTCAGAGCGTTGCCATAATGTCTTTCCATGTTCATTTTATTTCCCTCAATGACGAAATGCGTGCGTCTGTCGAAGTTGGCTAGTGCAACGGCGTACATGGCTTCCCGCAGACTGCATGCGGTTGGTGAATGCGAAAGAATCCGGGGTACATAGTCCCAGATGCCGACGGGTCGACCGTCCCACTCATCTTGCAAGACGTAGTCAAAGAAAAAGCGGCTGATTGCCGCGTCCACGATGTTGTCACGCAGTGGCACAGTCAGCGATGGAGTCGACTGGCGCGACGACACGATACTCGTACTTGGGGAACCGCCATCTTGACTGGCAGCTTCCTGGTCGACAGTGTCGAAGTCTGCGTCCTTGGAACAGAACGCCTTAGCCCTTGTCCTCCACTTCTTCTTCGCCTTGTTGGCAGTTTCCACGCTCTCGTTGCGAAAGGATATCTCTAACAAGTCCCTGTATCGACATTGTTCGTGGAGACCAGCCCGGAGACATCGTGCACACACTGGTCTAGCCTCGTCGCACTGTTTAACCACCTGAATCAGCGGTTCCGGATTGGGAAATGCGAGGGGAGAGAAAGGGGGGTGGGAGGGATAAAACGTATGGTTTGTTTCCTCAGAGATGAGGTGGATACGTACTTTCACGCGTCGCGTCCTGCAGGCCTCACAGCCAGTCGACAAGCGCCCTCGATACTCCTTTGTACGCATCATAGACGGTCACCGGCCACAGGGTGCATGATCACGTCTCGGTGGCTAGCAAGGGAGCTTTCGACTGGCACAAGCACCTTGGAATCAAGTTCGGGTCGCATGCGGTCTCTGAAAATGGCGAGATGACGTCGCTGGGTATGCAGTTCAAAGCAACGCAAGCATCCACGGTGAGTGGGCAATATTCACACCTTTGGCGCCACGGCCCTTTTTTTCTCTCTTCCCTCGAAGCGCCAACGGAGAACTCGCGAATTACAGAGGTGTAAGCACTTTCATTAGTCGGCGCCGGGATTTGTCCAACGCAGCTACAAGGGTGCGCAGGTGCAAAACGCAGTTCAAGCACGACGCCATCTGTCGTGCCCACGTGCGGATGGTGTGTTGGAGAGCGCCAGAATCAGAGCTCTGAGGACCATCGGTAGCAGCACAGCAGTCGATCAGGTACTGCGCTGCAGGATTGTGCTGCGCGTGTACGCAAAATACGGAGTAGAGCGGTTGCGAGAGCGCGAGTCACCCGTTCCCGGGTAAACGCCCCGCCAGCCCCCAACCAGCACTGCGCCCGCTCCCCCTCCCTCCGCGTCCCCGATCTGCTTCTGGCCACACAAACGTCAAACGCACAAAAAGAGGCCACGCAAGCTCATCGACAAGCTTGTGCTCGGCATGCTGGCGCAGTAGTCGTCAGACTCGACCCATGGCAAAAGGTGGTTTGGACGGCGTTCCAGCCGATGCCACGGCCGCGGTTTACACAGACGGTCTGCAAGAGTGACGTGAAGAATGGCGCGTAACAGCACGGCACTGTCAGCTCGTCGTTGGCCGAGTCGCCTCACGCTCGTCGGGCGGAGGCTACAGCGGCAGCTGGAAGTTCGGATGCTGTCTTCTCCATCGTCATCATCATGACCGTTACTCGGCCGCGCTAAACTCCATTTCGGCTGGTCCACCGCTAAGCAGCGCACTACGACGGCTCCGTATGACTTACTTGTACACGCACAGCACTTTCTCCCAACCGCTCGACAGCCACGCTGACATCTTAGGCCTGCTCCACCACCCCCGTGACAAAGCCGCTGGTTTCTGACGTTCTGGAATGGCCGCTTTCCGTCCGCATCTTGAAACACGTCATTTTGTCCAGCCTACGCGTTGCCGTTTCGCATGGTGCGTTCCTCAGGCGGCCGCGAGACGCATCGCCATTGTCGCGCAGCGAAACATGCCTCTCCCCGACCAGGTGCCGAGACTCGAGCCTGGACGACGTTTCACACACAGAAGGTACTTCGCGTTTCGGCTACACAGACGCTCCCTTGCGCGCACAGAGAGGTTTGAAAAATAGCATGGAAGGGCTACTGCGCCACCCTCCGGTAAGCCCAGCGTTCCGGACACGACATGTTTTGCTTAGGCGCGCGACAAGTTCTATTCATGAGCCCGTCCGCGATTATTCTTGCCCAAATGATGCGACGATGAGCATGCAGGGCCCGTCACTGGCCTCGTGCGCTTGAGAGCAGCCATTCGTGATCGTCATACGGGGCCTGATGAGTGGCACTGCTCTGGGCTCCGTCCTGAACTCCGTGGCCTAGCAAAAGACACGGCCGCGTCACCTCCGAAGGGGCCGCGCAAGGCTTGCCCACTACTGCGCCGTATCTCATACAAGACTTTCGCAGACCCGTCCTACCTTTGTGTTTTCGTAAAATTTTTTTTCCCTTTCTCTCTTTGCATCCGACAGCCTTTGAGCTTGCCATCGCCAATCCCCGCCGTTGCTGCGATTGTGTATGCCCCGCGCAGCTCCCAGCCCTTTGAGCCGTTCCTGTCGTGCCCTGTGTCCCTTGTCTTGAGCCGCTAGTGCGTCACCGCTCCACCTCATCTTGCTGCCACATCCGGCCAGACAATGCTGTTTACTTCCACACTGGCCATTGGCGCCAGTCTGCTGTCTCTATCCGAGGCCATCGCGTTGCACAAGAGAACCGACGTATGGTAACCCTTCCCCTGCGTGCAATGCTACACAAACTCACCAAGACCTCCATATACAGGGCCCCGCAAGAACAGTTCAACTCGACACACACCGCAAGCGAACCACGTTCAGCGCGCCGGTCCGGGACAGACTAAGAAAGCGCTCAAAAACGCTGAATGTCCAGCTTTTGAACGAGCAGACCCTCTACTTCGCCAATGTCTCGATCGGAACGCCTGCGCAGAGCCTGCATCTCGATATCGACACCGGCTCTTCGGACTTGTGGGCTAACAGTGCAGACTCCAATCTCTGCCAATCCAACGGCAATTACTGCGCCGCTTCTGGCACCTACAACGCCAACGACTCGTCAACATATACATACGTAAACTCCGACTTCCTGATCAAGTATGCAGACGGCTCGTACGCAAGCGGCGACTATGCAAAGGATACGGTGACGCTGGGTGGGACCGCCCTGACAAACGTGCAGTTCGGCATCGGTTACGATTCGACATCGCCGCAGGGCATCCTCGGCGTAGGCTACATGACGAACGAGGCCTCCATCGCCACGACGGGCAAGACGTACACCAACGTACCGGCGCAGATGGTCGCCGACGGTGTGATTGCTGCCAACGCGTACTCGCTGTGGCTCAACGACCTTGACGCGAATACCGGCTCTATTCTTTTCGGTGGTGTAGACACAGACAAGTATCACGGCGACTTGAGCACCGTGCCCGTCATCAAGGAAAACGGCGTGTACCAAGAGTTCGTCATTGCCTTAACAGGCTTGACTGCTGGCGGACAAGAGGTTTCCAACACACCCATCGCTGTGCTTCTGGACTCTGGCTCTTCCCTGACGTACCTACCGGACAGCACCGCACAGTCACTGTACACCATCTTTAGTGCGACGTACGACTCCCAGGCCGGCGCCGCAACGGTGGACTGCAGTCTCGCCAACAATGCCGCAACAGTCGACTTCAGCTTCAGCGGCATCAACATCTCCGTGCCGATGAACGAGCTCGTCATCGTCGACGCCGTCGAGCGCGGACGCGAGATCTGCATCCTCGGCATCACATCTGCCGGCAGCAGCACCTCCGTGCTCGGCGACACCTTCCTTCGCTCGGCATACGTGGTGTACGACTTGGACAACAACGAAATCTCCCTCGCGCAGACGAACTTCAACGCCACCAGCAGCAACGTCCAGGAGATCGCAGCCGGTTCTTCGGGCGTGCCGAACGCGACGCCCGTCGCCAGCCCCGTCACCAACTTGGCCGTCGGGACAGGAGGCGCCAGGAACGGAGGAAACCCAAGCGTGACTGCCGTGGGTGCTGCCGCCAAGGCGACGGCTCCTCCCGCCGTCATGGGCGGCGTCGTTGCCGCCGCGGCTGCTGGTATCGCCATGGCGCTGTAGAGGACATCTTTATACCCCCATGAAAGCCTCTGTTTCATGATATTTCTTGAATTGCTGCATAGCTCGGAGTTTTCAGGTCCTTCTTTTTTTTTTCAATCTCCTTGCGCACCCTTTCTCCTTTCATTTCAGCGATTTCGGGCGCGAAGGGTGCGGGTTATGGCATGACTGGGGACAGGCCCCAAGGAGATTCGGTTGGATACATGACATGCGTTGATTTTGGCTGCCGAACAGTCCTCCATCGCTGTATTACTTCTTTGTGGACAACCCCGACGACCATTGGCATAGCGGTTTTCTTTTTTTTTGGATTTTAGCTTTTAGACCAACACTGTTGCAACTGACCCATCTCGACGCGGGAAATTGGCGAAAAGACAGAAAGAACAAGACATGGGAAATCTGGAGGATCCTTTTGTATATACGGCTTAGCTTAGAATATCGTGGTATGATCCACCATGCGAAATGAGATATATATATGTCATGACGTTCCACGGGCAAGATGACACACACAAACATAAGCCTCTTGCGACGCTCTTCATTGTCATTAGTCTTCACGGCCGCCGCTCGACGATAGAGCACATTCGCACGTACTTCTAATTGAACTCATTCTGCCTCCACAACTTCTTCAAGTTCTCCCATTTTTTGTTTTTACACCTGTCCTGTGGTTGTTCTTTCACTTCCCAATCTTGTCCTCCGTGGCAATTGCAGTCTGCTGCCACCATAGCCGCCTGCTTTTTTCTGGACGGCCTCTTTTCCCAGGCCAGAACAGCTCCGCTTTACCGCCCTCCATCGATCCCATCACTCCTAACACTCTAAAAGCGCCCCCAAATATTAGCATACACAGCCTTGATACCCACCCAGGAATTCTTCAAAAGCCGCGTGGCTGCTCTAGCAAGCTAGTTTCCCGCACGTTGCCCCTCCGATCAAAGGCTAAGCTAATAGTCCGTAGTAAAGAACAAAATTTCCTGTTTGTGGAGGCGATGACCTGGAAAAGCTTTGCCTAATTATTAGTATCGGAGATGGCGGGATAGGTGAGGTAGTAGCTCTAGGGGGTGATATATGAGCGGACGCTTGTGTTTGGAATATCTTCCCAATGCCGACTAGCTATGCTAATGCAAGCTACTTTGGAAGGAATGAGCTTCCTAGAGCAGCTGGGCAGCCGTATTCTCAGAGCTTGCTGAGGAAAGCGGCGATCGATAAGATGAGAAAGAGTTTATAACTTGGCATAGCATGCATGAGTTCGAGCAAGGAAGAAGATTCAAACTAACGAGCTAGACAAACTAGATACTTTGACTACAGTGGGCTTAGGAGGGTCAGAGCCTGTTCTTTGATAGAAACCACAACACTGATTCTGCTTCTGAGGCAGGAAACGAGAGTCATGGCCGCTTTCTCTTTCCTATTGGTTCTAGTGATCGTTCTGCTCATTTTTTTTTTAAAAAAAAAACAGGAAAATCATCAAATGAGTGCTCTCATATGATGTCAAGTGTTAGAACTAGACTCCCTTCATAACAATCTGGTAGAGAGCTTCAGATACAATCCGATCAATCATTCAATTCATCAATCACACTGACATAAGTTATATGTATGCAAGTTATAAATATTATAATACATAATTTACTTAGATTACATTGGAGTTGCGAGCAACTTACTATGCCAAGCCTTTCTACATGATGCCTTGGAGTTAACTTTCCAGCCTGAACAGCCCGGTGAACTTATTTCCCCCACCCTGGCCCAGTCCTATCCTGTTACTATTAATACACCACACCGTGCCACGTACAGTACTTAACTGCACAGTCCTGCCCCCAACTAGCCAAAGTTCTTGATGCCTGCAACCCACCAGCTGAGTGGACAAGATTCTGATTCTAATAACTATTCTAGCTTGATGATACAATTTTTAATACAATTTTGCCCCCCCCCCCCACCCTCTTGATACTAAATCTACTGATGCTCATTAATACTCACTAGTATCTACCTATGCGTCTTCTAAAGATTAATAAGGATGGCAGCCTTAGCCTAAAGGACTTTAAGGATCATGAAATTCCATCCTTTGCCATTCTCTCTCACACTTGGAGCACGAACCCAGATGATGAGGTCAAACTTCAGGATATCCAAGATGGTACTTATGCTGATAAGCCAAGCTTCCATAAGCTTCTTTTCTGCAGGAATCAAGCCCGGGATAACGACCTTCAGTACTTTTGGGTTGACACCTGCTGTATTGACCAAAAAAATCATGTTGAGCTGACAAAATCCATCAACTCTATGTTCCGATGGTACCAGCAAGCAGCAAGGTGCTACGTTTATTTATCAGACGTGCTCATTTTCAAGAAAATGATCAAAATGATCAAAATGATCAAAATGATCAGAATAATTCTCACATGACTACTCGCGTGTTACTTCGTAACAGCTGGGTAGTGTGTCGTATCTTTGAATAGATTGATTGATTTGATTTGATTTGATTTGATTCTTCATTTACCCTGACCCATCCGAATTCGGATATGCAGGCTACATACGAGTCACATGATCCATTTACATTCCCTTTCATAGTTCTATTTCTTGAAGTTTTTGTTCCTACTTAGAGCTGTGTCGCTGTAGTGTCCTCACTTCTCGCCTATTTGAAGTGTTGCGATAACTTATCTTCCTTGTGCCAGATCTCTGTTGGAAAACCGGCCTGTTTTCTCAGCAAATTCGAGGATCGCGCATAGTTCCCCGTCTGCAATATCATCAGATATCATGGAT